TAAAATTTTGTAAATTAGCTGAAATATTTTCGAAATTATTTCGTTTCTTTCGCAATATTGCGAAATTATTTTATTTCAAAATAATTTCGCATCAATTACAGTTATTTCAAAAGATTTTCGGTATGCAAAATCTTTCGCAATATTTCACATATTTATTCTGCTGATGTATATATATTATTTATAGTAAGGATACTTCAATGGATCGAACTTTGATATATTGAATCAACTACTTCAGCTTTGAGGCTTCGTTATATCAAGGTTATATTGTAGTTGTTATATAGTAAATTCTAATTTTATTAAAAAAGTTGATGTTGATGCCCAAGTAAAGCTGTTTGAAATAAAAAAAATGCACATATACCGGGTAACTTTATAATGTGGTTTTATTTTTTACATTTTACGAACAAAATCTAAAATTTTGTTTACAAAATAAAACCATATTTGATAAAGTTATCTGATTTACAGGAAATTTTCAGCGTATATATATTTTCTTCTTTCGAACAACTTAGAGCATCAACTTCAACATAATAAAATTTCAACTTTACTATATAACAATTAACAATCACCTAAATAATTATATAACTACATAAAATTTTATTTTCATTTTTTTTATACCTTTATATAATCACAATTAAGTGATAGAAACCCAAAGAAGGTTTACTTGGCATAAAAAATTTTTCATTGTAGGCTACTGCATTTCAACCCTATAGAAAACTTATTAACCTTTAATCACGATTTATACGTTTTTTGTTAATAAAAATACTTTATATAGTCATGACGCAGGTAGTTTCTACATATGAAGGTTAAAAAATTTTGCTAACCTAATTAATTTTTGTGTATTCAGTTGTTCAGCATAATAAAATGAAATTTTATTAATTCACTTTCTTGTTTTACGTTTTAGTGCAGAAAACTATTTTTCTGCAACAAAATGTAAAATAAAGATATTAATAAAATTTCATTCACAATTCATAAAATTTTAGAATAATTATATTTTATTAACTTAATACGCAAAATTGATTAGCTTAGTAAAATTTGGATTTTTAAATGTAGAAACTATCTGTGATCAGAAGTATTTACTTCTACATATTCACACCATAAATGCTTATTTATTATTTATAATCAGTTTTGGGTGAAACAAACTGCGTGATTACAGGATTATAGAGAAACATGTACTTTTAACAAATTTGATTGATATATCCTATTTTTGACTGTTATGAAAAATTGAAAAGCGATATCTCGAATGAAAGTAACGTAACTTTGTCATCACTTACAAATAAAAATTACTTGATCTATAATAATGAGTCAGAATTACTATTCTGCACTTTTATCTTCTTTTTTTTACATTAAAATATTATCTAGCGTACACTTTAAATTAGCAATAAGTAATACACGTCTTTTTAGGTCAGATATTTAATGTATAGCAAAATCATTTACAAAAAAATTTTATAATTACTGCTACCAGTAGCTTCATTATCATCACCATCATCATCATCTCTTGGTAATGCACCTATTCCCATTCTTCCAAATATATTTCCAACTGGTCCAGGTAGTCCTTCTTGTGCTTTAAAACTTTCCAACAAATTTTTAGCAAGATTTAAATTAATATTAACTGGCTCATTTAATTCACCATCATCATACTCATAATTGTTTATTTTATCCTCCGATAGTGATTGATTCAAAGCCTCTTGAGGCGTTTTTATAAACGATCCGAAAATTTTTGATGACGACAATTCAGCGTCTAATGCCCGCATGTATGCGTCCATGTCAATGTCATTATTTGACTCTTTCATCTTTCCACGTAATGATTCAGAAATGTCAAGTGATGAGAGTTGTTGTGAGGATATTGATTTTGATTCCATAAGCTCCCCTAAGAAATATAAATTATAGTAATTTGTTAATAATTATACTACGATATAAAATAAGATATTATGACTTAACATACTTGTAATCTGATCAGATTCCTGCCTTATTTTTTCGTTTGCCAATTCTCTATATTCTTGCTCAGAAATGCCTATAAAAGCGTTTCATTTGTTTAATAATTAAGATGAGTATGGAGTAATATAGTTTAATCAAAACATTACCCAAAGTTTGTTTCATTATTCTTAAAAATTCAGTTGGATCAACTTTTACATCTGCATCGCCATCCATATATATATCATCCTCGTCAGATATATGTTCACTATTAATTAAGTAATTAAGGTATAATTAAATTGGCCAAATGTCATATAACACATATAACACATGATTTAAGAAAATTCCAAGTAAAACTTACCCTGGAAACTCAGCCCCTTCTACACCACTTTCAAAATCAAAAAATTTTTCAAATGTATCTATCATATTGGTCAAATCAATAGGGTTCAATTCATCATCAGACTATTATTATGGCATTAAAACGAAATGATAAGTACACGAGAAACTCCAAAATTGTACGAACAAAAATCTTAAAAATGGCTACCTCGCTTGGAATCTCTTCATAACTCTTATTAGTTGCATTAAGCAACTCATCTAATTGTTTTGGATCAACGTTGATCCAACTATCATCGCTTTGCTTAATATTTGACATTAATACTTCATCAGAAGCCATTGGTAGTTTCAATATTTCATCTATTTGTTCTAATGGAGATGAATTTTCTGAATCATCTCTAGTAATAAAATTTACCCAGTTAACGTAAATAAATATATATTAAGCATTAAACTTGAACTAAACTTACAACAACTCAACATGACTTTGATATTTTAAAAATTGCTCTTTGGCGATTTTTTCCAACTGTTTGTACAAAATAGAATCTGGTAATTCACCGTGATAATAATTTTGCATGATCAAATTAGCGTGAAATAATTTCCACGAAGGATCAGAATCAAATGGATAGGTCTATAATAATTAAGCATTATACTAAGTAGGTAATAGTCATACAATAACAAATTAGAAATTAAAAGAAATGAAAGATGAATTACCTCAGTATTCAATTTATTAGGTTTAGGTGATAAATTTGTATAATATTTATCAGTACAAAGAATTTCAAATCCACATGCCTGATATCAACATATGAAGTACGTTTATTTTATTCTAAATATAAAAAAAAAAGATCTGTGTAAACCTCATTAAGTATAATAAATATGCAAACTAACCAATTTCATTCCTAATTCAGCAGATGGATACTTTTTTGAAGTACTCAATGGCATTATAAATGGTTTTGGTGCATTAAATCGTTGACTTACAATTTGAGCATATAAAATTTTTGTAAATTTTACGCTAACAGTAATTGATGTATATGGAGGAAATTTTTGCATTTTTTGGCAAGACTATAAAAGAAAAAAAATTTTCTTTATTTAACAAAACAAATATATTGATGAATGATGAAAGATGTACAAACCTTTAATGCAATAGGATCTCGTGTATAAAATGCTTCAACAGCCGGAGCAACAAGTTGAGGATTATGATGCAAGACATGAGCTATAGTTCTTGGAAGATGACATCGAGCATAATGAAAATTTTGATTGATCTTTTCTGGATACCTGTTTTATTAAATAAATGGTCATGTTATCTAACAAAAGAACAAAGTACTAAACGAATATTTATATTATTATAACATTTATCAAATTGCTCACTCTAAAGTTCTTGAAAATACAACTTGTTGTACCTTACTATCAGCTTTGGTATCAACAACATCGTTGCGTACTAATTGAATCGCTTTTTCAACAGATAATGTTCCAGTTGGAATATGTGCAATTTCAGCAGAAGCTTTTGGTAAAGGGATTATATGTAATTGATCTTGATATATAAAAACCTAACATTTTGATATAGGCATAACATTATATTATTCCTATGTAATAAAATATTTTGCGAACAATGAATTGAGATATAAAACCACACCCTATTTTCACTATTACTCGGATTCAACCATGAGGGTAGTTGTGTAGCAGCTTCGATTAACAAAAATTCGCCATCATTATCAGAGACGCTATAAAGTGAAATGATTTATTAATCCTTAAAACCTAGGATTAAAAATAAATAAAAAGTAAATAAATACCTCACAACAACATCTTGAAACTTCTTTGACACGTGTTTCAATAAAAAAACTATAAACCATTCATCGTCAATACAATCACCAAACCTTGTTTTACCATATAAGAAAGGAAAACTTGGATCTAAATATAAAAAATCATGCATTCAAAAACATTTTTGTATAATTATATTAACCAAACAAATAAATATAGTACCTGATTCATTTTGCACAATTCTTAATTGAAATTTATCTTTATGCCAAATATACCCATTAAGAAACTGATGTAATTCAGATAAAATCAAAGCACTTGTTTCTTGAAGAGATGATGTTTGGTCTGAAGGCTGTATTAAAGATGAAAAAGGAAAATAGAGAGAGTAATAAACGGTATCTTCAGATGTACCCATAGGATCATTGATTTCTTAATTTTAATCAATTTATATATCGATATTAATAAGTTTGAATCCAAATTTGTGAACCAACTATTCCGATCATCTCTATATACGAATTTTTTACTCACGTGAGCTCATATGCAGAAATTCGTCTGATTGGCTAATGCAAATCAATTGCCCGGTTTAAGAGTCGTCTTTAGCTTCGAAGAGGTGTAGAAACCTAACTTTAAAAAAATCCAGTAACTCTAATAATCTCTAATTTAAGAGGTTGGTTTAATAGCGACATTTTGAACCAGATAAAGAAAAAACCTTTTAAGCTACTAATAAAAACAGCATTAAAGATTTTTCTTTTTATAGATTATCTTAAGTCTGGTGTTAAGGTTGTGAATAGAGAGGTTTGAATATAACGTTTAAGTAGGGCTGTGGGCATAGTTTTCCAGTGCATGCCTTTGAGCTAAAAAGCATGACTATATTATAATAGAAATCAAGCAGATTGACATTTTAAAAAAAATCAATGCCTTAATTTTAACTGTTAATATCTTGATAAATTTCGAAGATCTTCTTATGAATGAATAGTTAAATGAAAGCTTAAGATCTAAGCTTTCTTTTGACTGTTCATTTACGAGAATAGCTTCGAAATTCATCGAGATATAAGGAGTGAATTTAAGGTATTAATTTTTTTAACATGTCAATCTGCTTGATTCTATTGACGGCAACTTATAATTATAAAGCTGAATCATAAAGTATATTGGTTGGTTATTTTTTATTTATTTTATTTTTAACTATGGCAAGAAAAGCTGGTTAACAAACTTTATTGAGCATAGAAAAATTATGTTATATGTGAAATTATGTTATTTTTATTTTTAATCTAGTATACTAGTTATGTTGTAAATATATTATAATTACATAATTATAGATTATTCTAATTCAAGATATGATTTGAGATTGAATTGATCTAGGTACAATAGTAATAGAAAAAAATTTTTTTAATGTTAAGTTGCAAATTTAATGAAGTTTTTTTTAAAAAGAAGATTTCATAAGTTATTGTTTGAAAAGTTGTAAATAGAAGTAATAAACCATTATAAATAATAACATGAGTTTTTTTTTTTTTTTTTTTTTTTTTTAACATATAAGCAGTCACTTAGTACTTTATTAAGTTTTTGAAATTACATTTATAACTACATAAATATTTCTAATATCTAAGTTTAGTATTATCCAGTCACCTTGCTAATACCTAAGTGCAATCTGTCACATTACTTCGAACAGAAGTAAGCTGCTTGTCTAATTACTTAAAGTCCATAATGAAAGGGTCTTCTCCCTTTCATAACAAGCTCTAACATTGTCTTTGTTACTTTCTTCTTAACTTGCTTTCCTTTTTCTTTTATTTCTTCTTTTTTCTTCTTTATTTTTTCTTGATTTGCCTTTTCTCATTTTCTTAGTTCCTTTAGTTTTTTACTTTTTTTTCTTTTAATTTTATTTGTTATTCCAATTTTTTTCTTCTATTCAATAATTTTTTTGTAATGTATTCTTCATACTTGTTCATAAAATGTGTCTCAGGCTGTTATTGTTACTATGTTTACAAAATGTTGTCTTGATTTTGTATTTAGGAGTTGTATTAGTTTGTCTTATATTTTTTTTGGAATTAGGCTTTTTATTGATGTTTCTTTTATTTTAACTTTTCTAATTCTGTTTTTCCAAAGAGTGTTATATATAATACATATAGGAGAATTTGAATTTTTTTTTCTTCTTTTAATTTCTTTTATGCTATTACAATGATCATTTTTTGGATTCTTTTCTAGAGATTTCTTTGCCTCTTATATGTTATTAAGTATGCTTATATTTCTTTTACATTTTCTTGCCATACTTGGCATTCTACTGTTATGTATATATCTGGTCTTCTTCTATTAAGTTCTTCTAAAATTGGAAGCTTATCTATTATGTACTTAATAAATACATTTCTTTTGAAGCTGCTTCTTCTTGTTATGTAGTATATTTTTTTGGTCATCTTTAGTCTTTTTCAAAAATAAGTCCAATCATAAATTGTGATTTCTGTTTCTGGCTTTAAATCTTTAACTGTTCTTGTTTCTTTTTATTCTACTACTATTCTTATGTTCATTACTAATTTGTAAAGCAGTTTTGCTAATATATCAGTTCATCTATTTTCCTACTTTAAGCAGTATTTTATCTTTTTACAACTGACTTTTTCAGCTTGTACTATTTTCTTACTTATTGTTCTCTTTTTTACTAAACTATTAGTTTTCTATTCTATTTGTCTTTACTATAATTTTTAACTTTAACTATATCTATTTAAATGTTTTTCGTCTTAACAAGGTCTTTAATCTTCATTATTTATATTGCATTCTTTTTTTTAATAATCTTGTTTCTGTTTGCTTGTTCTAGACTTCTACTAATATTTCTTATTACAACATTACTATCTGTATATATCTCTATTTACTTCTCTTTAGGTATAATTAAAATTATTGCCCAAATTGTTACCAACTCTGCTACTGTCAATGTTTGTCATCTTTCTAGTTCAAATCCTATTTCTTTTTCTGGTCATTCCTGTGTTTCATTTGTTTGGACTCATCCTATACTTATATTATTCTTAGACATTAGCTCTTTACTATCTTTCTCATTAGTTGTACTATTAGTATATATTATATATTTGTTCTTGTTTCTTATAATGTTTCTTTTTAGGACTTCTATTATTTCTTGACTAATGTTTTTTTTTTTTTTTTATTAAAAATGCATCTAAGCATATATTTTATTTGTAATTATTCAATTATTATAAAGTTACATATTTTGTAAAGATTACTTTATGAATCTTAGAATAGAATC